TCCATGAGCTTGTTGGGGTTGCAGTGTTTGGATGAAAGGAATCCCCAGTCTGACACAGTTGCTTGAGTGTGTAGACCCCATTATCCTAGCATCATCCTTTTGAGGTCCACAGGAGAAATGTCCTTTGGCCTTGGAGTCAGGGAGGCCCAAGCCAAGCATTTTGTCCTTGTTCCGTTACTATTCACAGCAGATGTGTCTGCTTTCTGTCCCCCATGAAAAGGCTTCCATGCCAGGAGACTGAGCATGTGCCCAGTGGGCACAAGCCTTGGTGCACATGTCCCACTGCCTCCCTTTCCTTTAGATCCCTCCTTGCAAGGCCAAACAGGACTCAGGCAGTTTTGAGGGAACCATCAGCCCATAGAAAGTAGAACAGCACTGCCCTCTTCCTTCTGGTCAGTTCTCTATGCTCAGTGTATAGATGCCTGGTTCCTGTGGGCTCAGGATGCAAGGGCAATGTCCAGGGGTCGGGCCTCTTGCAGTCTGGCCCCCGTCCCTTGCCGCCTCCTGGCTATTGCTGCCTGGCCCCCTTCCCTGGTCTCATTCACCTTGTGCAGTCGCCATGCCACATGTGCACCTCTGGGATTGATCTGCGCGGGGTGGGGACTGTGTGGGCGATTGGCAGTTGACCCAATGTTTGGTTGGACCCAATAGTTGTCCCCAGTCTGTGGACAGGAAATCGAAGCTTATGGAATTCAGGGGACATGTGCAAGGCCACACAACAAGTACAGGAGAGGGGACACACTGACCAGCAAGCAGACAGCACTGCAGCTGGGACGTGTGGTCCCCAGGCTACTTCCCTGGTCACCAGGTGCAGCCCCAAACACTGAGATCTTGCTGAACACTGATGACACAGAGACCATCAAGTGTGTGCCACTCAGCGAGTCACATGAAGAGCTCCAGAGTCGTGTTCTGAGCATGAGGAGGAAGGAAAGGAATGCTTGGATCATAGCCTGTGGCTCTCAGCGGGAGGGAGATTCTGTTTACCCATCCAGCTGATAGAATCAGGAAAGACAAATAGCTGAGGTCACTGGGGAAGAGCTTGTGCTATCTTGGTGTCTGTGCCAGGTGTCAGGTGTACCTGGAAGGGTACTGTGGATCTCCATAGGGCATCCATCCCCAGCAGGCAGTTGGTGTTTAAGAAGTGCTCATGGGGTCTACCTGTGTGTGTGTGTCCACATGCATGCGTGTGTGTGTGTGTGTGTGTGTGTGTGTGTGTGTGTGTGATAGAGAGAGAGAGAGAGAGAGAGAGAGAGAGAGACAGACAGACAGACAGATAGACGGAGACAGAGACAGAGACAGACAGAGAGAGACAGAAAAAGAGAGACAGAGAGAGGGAGAGAGACAGATTATCGTGCAGGACCCAGGACAGTTGCTTCCGAAGCACCCGCTTCCTAGAAGGCTTAAACAGGGCCAAGGTCGGGCTATGCATTTGCTGTGCCCTTTAGGAAATGCATACCCAGGCTGTGGGTCCCACTTCCGTCCTCATCTATATTAATAGGCACTGCACGCAGGGCTGTGGAGAGTGCGGCTGCCAGGTCCCATGCAGAGTCAAGTTCATGGGTCAAATCCTAAAACAAAACAACTTCCAGCGGTCCCAGCTGACCCATACTCTGGGCTCCCTGGTGGGGCTGCTGCGAATGTCGTCTCCCCCTACCTGGGCTCCTCCCAGCCCCTCGTGCTCGAGAACCTCCATGTTGCTGGGGTGGGTGAGCCTAGAGCCTGGACACCTCACCTGCATCTGGCTGTGGGACCTCTGCCAAGCCACCAGCCAGCCTGAGCCTCAGTCTCCTCACATATAAAGCGGGTTCCTGCTCTGCACAGCAGGCATCTGTGAGCTGTGCAAGGTGATGACTCTGAAGCTGTGTTGGGCTTGGGACTATTCCCAAGATGGAGATGTGTGAGGCTCTTGCTGCCTGCTTGCTGTCAGGACACCTTGGGCCTTAGGTGTCTCCTTCCTAGTCTCAGCTTCTCACTGTACCCTAGGAGCGAGGATGAGGAAGATGCTGCTTTCATACTGAGGCAGGACCTGTGTTTAAAGCCGCAGCGCAGAGCATGGCTCTCAGGACCACCCTGGAGTGATCAGCCGCCACCGTCCAGAGCAGGGCAGGAAGAATGAAGCCGAGACCCTGAAGGTGGGTGTGTTGGCCCAGTCCTGCATTTCCAGCACTCTGAGAGACTGAGGCAGGAGGATTTCAAGTTCAAGCTCAGCTTGGGCAGTTTAGAGGCTCAGTCAGACTCTGGCCCAAAATAAAAAAAGAAATTTTAAAAAGGATGGGGATATCGCTCAGTGAAAATTTCAATACCGCAGGGGGAAAAGAAAAAGCCCCCAAGTGTGGCAGAGAGAAGCCTGAGCACCGAGGACCCCTCCTGTTAGATGGACCTTTCCACGTGACAGAGCCACCGAGCTCAGCAGTGAATCCTGTGAGCCCAGTCCCTCTCCTGACAGTCTGCAGCCAGACCAGTCCCAGGCAGAACTGCCTGGGCAGAGCTTGTGCTATCTTGGTGTCTGTGCCAGGTGTCAGGTGTACTTGTAAGGGCACTGTGGGAGTAACAGGCAGGTGGCATCTGCAGGGAGAATGTATTTCATGTGCTGCTTCTCAGAGTGGCAGCTTCTTGGGTGGTGCTGGGCCACATCTCAGCTACAAGGGCACCCATAGATGTGCACACACACACATACACATCCACACACACAGAGGCGTACACCCACTGCCTGCCCAGGCCAGGGAGGGACACCACAGAGCCCAGTGCCGACATAGGCAGGGAGGGTCAGTGATGACCTGCAAGCCTGGTAACTGCTCTAAGCCACAGAATGCCCTGACTTTACAGCCTGGGCTGGGCACCCTGCCCCAAGCCTGCTCACCCTGGTTTGGCACTGGCACTGCCCTGCCTATGCTCCAGAAGCACGTGACTCATGGGTGGACCTCAGCATGGGCTGTGAGGCCTGTAGGTCACTTTATGCCCTAAGGAGTATCATCCTGAGAGGCTGGGGACAAGGGTGTTCCGGTGAATGGTGTCTGCCATCTGTTCTGCATGCAGGGGCCAGAGAAGGCTGACACTCGGGTGGCCCTGGGTCACATGTCTCCCTAGCCCCTCGGACCCACACTCTCTACCTGCAGGGTCCGGGCCACCTTGCATCCCTTCCCCCCACTTTCTGCCAAGTGCTGGCTCTGTTTGAAGTCTTCTTTCGTCCTTAGCAGCTGTAACCCAACAATGAGGCCGGGGCTTTCCAACGGAGGATTTCAGCAAAAAAGAGGCTTAAGGGAGAAAGGAATGTGCAAATCTTATATGCTGGACACAGGCCAGCTGTCCAGGGTGTGGGAGGGAACTTGAGAGCAGCAAGAGCACCAACACCCCTCTCTTCCCCAACTCCCAGCACTCTAGAGAACCCGCAAGGTTCTCTGAGAGCCTGGCCATTAAGAGGCAATGATAGGGCCTATTTTTAGCCTGGATCTGGTCTTGAAACCAAGTGGGAGGTCCCCCTATGCCTCACCAGCAGCCTGGACACCAAGATAAAGCCTCGGGGCAGGTGTGTGTGCAGGACTGCAGAGTCTGACCCTGCTTGAGATAATTTGTCCTCTAACCAGTCTTTCCCAAGTCCAGTAGAAGGACAGAGGTTTGCATCTCATTCAGCTTCCTAGCAGGGGCTTGACTTCGCTCTGTGGGGTGTGGTTGGGGTGCTGTGTGTCTATTTGGAGCCCAGGGCCTAGGTCACTGGTAGACGTTAGTGACAGGGTTACAGCAGGATTCTAACCCTGTCGTGGACACTGGTCCAGTCAGAGTCTTTTCTCCAGGCTGGCCTGTGTGTCCTTGGTGGCTATCCTCCTAATCCTCCTACATAGGTAACCTGGGGGCTCTGGAGGTTGCTGGGCAGCTCCTCCACCAACTTCTTCCCTCCAGCCTGCACCAGGCCCATTTTCCCACCCTGGGAAAGCCCCAGGGCTAGGGTTTTGGGCTGGCTGTTCCTTTGACCTGCAGCACAGCCTCAGGTAAGGTCACTGCTCCTATTGGAACACAGTGGTTTCATCCTGTACTCAGCCGGTTGGGTGAGACCCTCTCTATGGTTTTGCCAGCTCTGACTCCTGACCCAGGTACCCTGGGATTGGTCCAGGATCCCCCAGCACTGACACTTTCCTGGGGCCCCACTCTCAGTTCTTAGCTGTGCACAGCTCTGCATCCTCAATGGACTGAAACCCCAGCTACAGTCTACCTTGGTGGTCAGAAAGTGTGTGTGGGGTGAGGATAGGTGGACAGTGGCTCCTCCAAGGTCACACATCCAACAGAGGACAGGGGTAGGGCTTTGCCTGGGACTGCTGGCATCCAAACTGGTTCCCTTCCCTGACCCAGCAAACTTCTGCCAGGAGGCTTTGATGATTGTGTGTCTCCTCCTGGACCCTAAGGACAGTGGGCCAGAGCAGGGACTGGGAGCTTTGCTTCCTTGTGTCCTCAGTACACATTCTGCCCCTGGGGACCAGCAAAAGGGGCTCTGCCTTGGGAAAGGCTATGCTGTGCAAACTGCTGCAGCCTTGCAGGGAGAGGAAGGGACAAGCCCAGGGCCTCTTCATGCCACAAGCCCAAGAGAGCTCTTGTGGTAGAGTCCCACAGTACACTAGGCCACTAGAGTGTTCTGGTTGGCTCTGGGGTGTGCCCAGCCCTTGCTCCAGGGCAGAGCTACTCCAGGATGGGCGGGCATTCTCACTCCTCCGTTTACTCAGCCCTTTTCACAAGCAGGCATGATGCTCATGTTTGCTTTTTAAAAGCACCTTCACCCAGGAGCCCCACCTCTGCCTCCCACTTTCCAGGAGGTGGGGCCCAGAGCTGGCCCCTCTGCAGAGGAGGATGCTGAGGGTCTCCAAGTGTCTGAGACTGCTCAGAGGTGGGCTGTGGCCAGATGCAGTGCCACTCCCTGTCTGCTCCTTCACAGAGCAGAGCTTCCCAGGGGCCTGGGGAAGGAACTGGAGGACAGGGAGCAGGCATAGGCAACCTGGCCTGTGGGGTCTTACCTGCTGCCGTGGCAATGCCCAGGATCCGACAGGTGTACTCCAGCCCAGTCCAAAACACCCAGAGCTTCATGGTGGGGGTGCAGGCAAGTCCAGTGGGCAGGCAGCAGAGGCTCTGGCCCAGGAATGATGCTTGGGATGATTATGTGTGCAGGCAGATAGGAGCTGTGGCTGCTGGTGGGTCCCTGAGTGGAGCCCTGCCTACCCCAGCCAGTCCTGGCCACCACAGTCCAGGAGGTGTGAGCCCAGCTTGGCTGGTCCAGTGCTCGGCTTAATCATTACCTCGGAAGAATGCTCCAGCCTGGCCCGGAGCTGCTGGCCCAGCAGCTAGAGAGAGATCAGGCTGATTAGGGCTGGGCTGTAGGAGCCTGGAGCTGGCAATTAACCATTTCTGGCAGGGAGGAAGGAGCCCTGAGAGAAGAGCAGGGCCCTTTCTTAGTAAGCAGTGCCACCCAGAAAGTTGTATGTGGGCCACACACCTGCTGGGCCAGGGGCCCTAGGAGGAGCATCAGTGCCCGTCCAGTTGTGCGCAGGTAGGAGAAGGATAAGTCTGTAAATCACCCATAGAGAGAGCGCCTGCTGGAGCCCGAGCTCAGAAGCTGTTCTAGCCTGGTGAATCCAGACTCTGGGCAGCAGAGGCTCCGCCCAGTGCACACAAGGACCGTCCTTCATCCCTTGCAGACACCAGTGACACGGAAGGGGAAATCCCTGCCATTCTTCCGCGGGGAGCTGCTTGTCAATAATTGACGGGGTGACCTTGGGAGTCAAGGTTTCCGTGAGCCCTGATAACTGCAGAAAATGAGTGGAGGTGCCGGAGGGTGAGGAGTCTCACTGTGAGCCTGATGGGGCCATGCTGGACCCTCTCTGAAGCCCCCTCTAAAATCACTGATTCCCTCTGGCTAATAGTGAGTTAGTGCCCCTGCCAGGTGCTTCAGTGGAGTGGGTTCTCCTCCATGCAGGAGGGCTCGGCAAGGCAAGGAGCAGGTTGGTGAGCCAAGTCCACCGCCCTCACGGTAAGGGAAGCCAGTGCCATCCAGAGCTTCTGGGATGAGTGTGCTCTGAGAGGAGGTGTTTCGCACAGCATTCCCGCAGCAGCTATGGTGCGGTCGGTTTGGCTGGTTCTGTAGCTCCTACCTCTCTGTGCGACTTTTCCCTTGAACAAGTTCAGGAAGCCCTGTGCTCCCTGGGCTTCAGGGTCAACCTCAGAAATGCATCCTTTCATTTTCAGCATGTGTGAGGCCCTGGGTCAGATTCCCAGCACCACCACACACACCACACGTGCACACACACACATCACACACACACACCACATATACACACCACACACGCACACACACACCACACACGCACACAACATCATACATGCACATACACCATACACACACACCACACATATACACCACACACATGCAGCACACACATACACACGCACCACACATGCACACCATGTAAAACATATACACCACACACACTATACATCACACACATGTACATACACAGATCAAACATATCACACATTACATATCACACACACCACACAGCACACACCACACAGACACACCGCACCACTGCACCACACACACACACAGTATGATTCTGTTCTGGTGAGGTCTGTGGTGTGGACAGTGGGATCCCAGGAGGTCCCTAAGGAGGACAAAGGGAAGCCTGACTCACCCCAGGGCCAGGGCACAGGTGTGCTGACTTCTATCACAGAAAAGGCATTTTAGGACACGTCAAAGGAAGACATAAAGAAGTTTATTGGGCAGAATTTTAAGGTCTTTCACTCAGTGAAGCAGTGTAGACTCCGAGGCAGATGTTTCCAGCTTGGTGTTGGGGTATTCATGGCACTCAGGTGGGGATCCATCTGTGAGCTGCAGCCCCAAGGAGAGCATTTGATTGCAGGTGTCAGGTGGTGGCTCTTCCTCAGGGCTGGGCGATGGCCACTGCAGCTGAAACAGAGCCCACCCACAGGGAAAGGCCCCGGCCACAGCAGGACAAGGCTTATGGGTGGTACAGGGAGTGGCCCAAGCATGCTGAGTCTCTAAGGACCTTAGGAATTCCTGACTGTCTTTGTTCTGAACCTGTAACTGTCTTTAAAAAACACAATTTTAAAATTATGATTTTCCTTGTCTCTTTCTACCTAGGTTATTTCTCCTCCCTTGCTTCAGTTTGTATATAATCTATAGGGGTTCTTAGGTTCACGGGCTGTTTACCTTTTTTTTTTTTTTTATTGGTACCAGGGATTGAACTCACGACCGCCTCCTTGCAAGGCAGGTGCTTATGCCCCGCTGAGCTAAATCCCCAGCCGTGGGCTGTTTATTAGCAGACTGTTGATGACTAGCAGACTGTTTACTGACTCTGACCTTCACAGCAAGTTGTGCTGGTCCTGGCACTCTGCACCCCTCCCCAAGGCTGTGACACCCACTGAACAGAAGAGAGGGAGCTATGGGGGCTGGGGAGCAGCTGGGGCTCCCCTAGTTTCTTCACAAACCCTTTGCTTACTTTCCTCCCTTTGCTCTGAGCAGCTGGATAGTTTGGCAGCCCACACCGGTCACTTGCTGCTTCTTGGTCACCAGTTTCTGGCTCTGTGTGGCATGTGACCCTCAGGGCCTCGCTCAGTGGGGTCTGTTCCCTTCACGGGTCACAGCGGCCCCCCTCCCCAGCCTGTTTGGGAGTGAGCATGTGACCCAGTATTGCATGACCGCCAGGAAGGGGTGTGCTCAGGGGCCTCGGGGGCAGTGCCCCTCTGCGTTTCACAGGGGGCTGGAGGACAGGATGTGTCCTTCCCCTCAGATACTCCTCTTGGGAGTAGCTGTCCCACAGTGAGGAGGTCCTGGCCCAGGAGAGGACAGACACAGCACCCCCTGACACTGGGAGCTGCTGGGCCAACTGTGCCCTGCAGTAGACATGGACGTGGCTTCTGGTTACAGCATTTGTCCTGCAGGTGGCATGGCCCATGACTGGACCTGCCTCTCCCAGGCCTTTTGCCAAGGGGGAGGTTTTTCCCCTGCACTGGCTCAGGGCAGACTGAAAGCTGAGGTGCCAGGCAGCAGCTGCAGGCTGCAGGATACCACAGGGCATGGAGTCCTGCGCGGTGGCCAGGGTTGTCTGGCAGATGAGTTCCACAGACCCCCCAGCACTCAGGGCAGTGATTGCCCCCAAGTATGGAGCCAGAGTCTAAAATAGCAGCTGGACGGGAAGGTGGTGAGGACCAGAAGGCCAGCTGACTAGCAGAGGAGGGAGGTCAGTGTGGGCAGGCAGCCAGGGTGGACCCAGAGGTGGGAGGCAGGGACCTGCCCAGGGCACAGAGAAGCACTCTGAGCCAGAAAGGCAGCTCGAGGCTCAGCCACGGGTGAAGCACAGTGTGCTGGGACCCAGGTGTGATGGGGACATGGCGCAGGAAGGGACAATCTCACTTTCATCCTTGGAATCTGGGGTGGGGTTGCAGGTAGGCTCGGAGTAGAGGCAAGGGGTTCAGTTATAGCTCTTGATCATGTTGGAGATCATGTGGGGGAGGGAATGAATTCCCTGGGCCCTGTGGGTGCTGAGAGGGGATGGTCCCCAAGTGCCCAGTGGACCTTTCACATCTAGAGGCTGTGATTCATGACCTCTGTGGTCCAGGAACAGGGCTCCCAGAGGACAGCTGTTCTGGGCACCAAGACAGCCCTGGGCTCCCACCTTGCTTGGCTCCTCTCCACCTCTTCCTAGGGTCCCGGATGTGTGGCCAGGCCAAGCAGTGGCATGGGGAAGTAGGGTGGCCCACAGCTGCAGAGCTCAGCCCTGAGGTTAGGGGCTTTGAGGCCTGGGGCATCCTTTACCCTTTCCATCCTATTTTCCTTATCTGCAAAATGGGTTTGAAAGGTCAGGTCTTATGTCCTGTGTCCCAAGCACTCTTCCGGAGCAGGTGCCAGGAAGTGTGACATGGTAAATAAACAGGAAGGTGGTGCTCCTGTGGTTACCCTGGGAACCAATACCCCACTACCCTCACCAGTTTGGTGCTGGAGCAGGAGGAAGATGGCTTGACTCCATACACTGTCTTGTCCTCAAGGCTCATGAAGACCAAACTCACACTGATGTCAGGGCTGTAACCATAGCTGGAGTTTTCTCAGCATGGTTCCCCAGGACTAAGTGCCCCTCCCCACCACCACGCAGCCCAATTCTTCCACCTTTTGTACTCCGAACGAGGGAGCAGTGTTTCATGCTGAGAAGGTCACCCAGGAAATAACCAGGGACACTGAGCCTACCAGGCCTCCCAACCAGCCCTTCTCTGCAGTTGGCCCAGGCTTGTGGGTGCCTCAGGCAGGAAGCTACCCAGTATAAGATGCTCCCCAGCAGCCCCAGAGACTCCTCTGTCCCCCTTCCCCTAGCTCTAGACCTAGAGGTAGACTCATGGTGGTCCAGGGCAGGGACAATGACCAGCCTCCGTCGCTGCTCTCTGTGACCCCACCTGCAAGTCTCCTGGCCGTGGTGAGTAGATGCTTCGCCGACCTCCAGCCACAAGGATGACATAAATTGTGAACACACAGAAATTCCAGACCCGGGGAAGGCTCTGGGGGCTGCAAACGTCAAGACAGCATGAAATGTGTGTCTAGCTAATCCCATCTCTGAGCGAGGAGGCTTCCACTGCATGGTAGGGAGTCTCACCTCATAAATCAGCCAGGGCTGGGCCCGGAGATGCATGTAGAGGAGATCTGTAGCCTGCGGATCTCTCCAGACCCTTGTCCCTCCTCTGCCCCATCTAGAGTTGAAGAAGAAGACAGTAGGGCCCCCAAGCTCTGCCCTCTCCATGCCACACCCCTCCTTCTGGGAGAGGAGGGTCGGCCCTGCACCTGTGCTCTGCTTCACTGTCTCGTGTGTCTTGGGCACCTGAGCCTTCAGCCAGGGTCTCCGTCCTTCTGTTCTTCTTCCACCCTCTTCACCCACTGTCCACAGCCAGACCAAAGCTCCCATGCACAGTGTGCCTTATCCCCTGTCACACGTACAAGCGCTAGGACTGTGGTCTCTTCTTTGCCTGGAGTTCTCTGGCAGAGAGCTTTTCTCCTGGGGTGATCTGCAGTTGGCAACCTCCACACAGGTCCAGGGGGGCCCTCTGTACTTCCTGGGGTGCTCCACCCCTCCCATTGCACCATGTATCCATCCTGATCCAAGGTCACAGCACTGTGTTGGTCTGTCTTGTGCATGAGAGGCCAGGCTCCCTGCCCACAGTGGCAGAGGAAGGGACCCTATAGGTGGCTCTGGCCCTGCCAAGCCTTTGGGTTAGTGCAGCCTCATGGGGGTGATACAGGTGACCTTGCCTGCAGCCTTAGGGGTCACCCTGAGCCTGGTTCTCTGTGGAGCTGCTCGAAGACACTGGAGCTTTGGCAACTGGAGACAGGGAGCCCATGCTGTTTGAAGTTGCTGGGTTTAGGGTGATCTGTTACCCAGCAACAGGTACAAAGGCCCAGTTTCTAATCCTCTTTCCTCCACCCCTCTGTTCTTTCGGGCTGTTTTCCCATCCTGTGGCTTGAGTATTACAAACAGAATAGTTTTTCCCCTTTTGGGCCCTGAGCCCAGTGCATTGCCTTCCTGGCCACCAGGCTGCAGCTCCCCTGGCTTTTGGTCACCTCTGTGTCGAAACCAGCGTATCGCCAGCCAGGTT